CAACTCTAAAGGACCAGCAAGTGGTCCTCTCCCTGACCCTCCCAACGATTTTTATGACAAGACATGGTCGATGAACCAGGCATTGTCTATCAGGTTTGTTTTTGAAGATTTATATTCCTTCAAGATGTTGATTTCTTGTAACATGTCTTGTGGTAGAAAATGTTAAAAGTTTGCTATTGAGGAGCCATCATTTCTCTTATCTTAAATCAACTTGAACAGATGATCAGTTCTTGACTTAAATTTACAGAAATATTTAGATCACTGCCATAACGGATGATTCAGTTAGATGCTGTAAACTATGCCTTGTTTTCGTTCGTGCATATATTGGATTTGCATTTTCCTCATTTCTTCCCCTTAATTGTTGGGTTTTAGGTAAATTCTCAGAGTAGTTCATTACTAGTTCATTCGTCTGAAGTCTTTGGCTTTCTTATTGCTAGGCAAAATGGATCTGCAAGTGGAGCTCGCCCTAATCCTCAGGGATCATTTCACTATGGTCAAATTAATGTCACTGATTTATACGTGATAAAGACTGTGCCACCACAGATAATTGGTGGGAAACTGCGAGCTACGCTGAATGGCATCTCATTTGCCAACCTTACTACACCAATCAGGCTTGCAGATAAGAACAATGTTAGAGGAGCCTATAAGCTTGATTTCCCCAATATGCCACTTAATAGAACCCCCCGAACAGACATATCTGTTATCAATGCTACATATAAGGGTTTTATTGAAATCATTTTCCAGAACAATGACACCGCAGTGCAGAGTTTTCATTTGGATGGATATTCCTTTTTTTTGGTTGGGTAAGTTTTATTTTCATTTGTATCGTTTTATATCAGCTACTTTGAAATTAGTTGGTGTTTAGAGAAAATGATTTGATGTGTGCAGGATGGGTTTTGGTGATTGGACTGAAAACAGCAGAAGTGCATATAATAAGTGGGATGCAATTACTCGATGCACTACACAGGTTTGTCTTTTGATCAGAAAATCTGTTGTTCTGATTCTTTATGATACCTTTTGCTTTTCAGCCGGTTATTATGCCCTTTCTTAAAAATCTAGAGAAGAAACTAAATGGAAACCCTAGAAAAAAAGTCCTGATGGCCGTGTAGCAAATATTTCGTGCATACATTCAAGTCAAATGCAAATGTGTAGATGTTTGATGATATCTGCTTTAGCATGTGACTTCTGAAATGATTGCTTACATGCTTATTGTCCAGTCTGTTCATGCATGGTATGAGGATGACTCTGGAATATGCTTGTTTTATGTCTTGCATGAAGTGTTTGTGTTTCTGTCCTGTGATTGTGTAGGTTTTCCCAGGGGCATGGACAGCAGTGCTTGTCTCACTTGACAATCCCGGAGCGTGGAATCTTAGAGCTCAAAACCTTGATAGATGGTACCTTGGCCAAGAGACATATCTGAGAATCGTTAATCCAGAGGAGAGCGGTGAAACAGAGTTTGGTGTGCCCGATAATGTTCTGTATTGTGGTGCCTTAGCCAGCAGGCAGAAGTATGCTTAACAATTCTCACTCCTCTCTCTCTCTCTCTCTCTCTCTCTCTCTCTCTCTCTCTCTATGAAAATTATCATTTTTATTTTCTTTCTTTGGCATCTTCAGGGAACAGAAGCACTCTTCTGCAACATCAATTTCCGGGGGAAGTTCGAGGCTGCTCATCTCTCTGCTGGTGGCATTCTTCACTTTGGTTTGTACTTTTAGATGATGAGTTAATTAATGGCGACGGTTGATTCCGAGCAGTGATGGCTTTTTCGTGCTGAATTGCTGGGTTGGTTGAAATACAGATGGTAGTTTTAGGTGTGCAAATCAAAGTGTGATGGTGGTAGATTTCGGGTTTTGGGTGGTTTTAGTGACAGATAAATGCTTGTTTGTGGCTTTTTCTGTGGCGATACTTCCCCTACCATAGCGTTGTAATAGGTCATTTCGTATCCAACATTCTTTTGTGCGTTTCTCTTGAAATTATGTGTACTCATGAATTGCAGTCTCATGATGTTTAACCCCATTATTCTCAATCAATATTTATACCATTTGACTTCATTTTTCTCTAGTTTCCCATGCGTTTTTTTTTTTTTTTTAATCTTTTCTAAATTTTTTTTATGATGATTTTTATTTGTCCTTTGAGAATGTGGGCCTTGACCGGCCCACAAATTGTCAATATGTTTTTTATGATGATTTATTTCGGTCATTTCATGATTCATTCGGAAGTTATTGCCTCACCAACTATCTAATCAAATATGAGCTTTTTTTCAGGCGAATTTTTTATTTTGCTCCCCCGCCTAGGAGGTATTATCACCCGCTTCCAGCTGTTGTTCACTTGTTTTTTATTTTTATTTTTGTACAAACGATATTATCTATCTAAGGCGTGGAGAATGGGCTAAATTTCACAATGGACTAGCAATAATGTGATTCAAATTCGTCTTTGGCGAGAATCGAACCTAAGACTTCTTACTTACAAGTGAAGAGAAATACCATTAAAGTTATAGTACTAAGTGACAACTGTTGTTCACTTGTTTGAACTAGGGTTTTAAACCAAACTTGTAATCAGAGGATAGATGGGCCAATTTAGTTGAGATTCAATGGGGCGATCAACTCTTCTATTGTTGTCATCTTACAAGAAGATCTTATTAGCATGTGAAAATTTTAATTAAAAATCCCGTGCTTTTTGAAAAACCACTTGAAAAGCACTTCCTAATCAACTAAATTAGTTTACGCTATAGCATTCGTTCGATCCCAACGAAATGGCGACTTTCTGAAACTGACGATAGGATCAAGGACTATGTGACCTAGAAAAGCAATGTTTAAGGGTAGGTCTAGGACGGGGACCCGATTCAGAAAGAGGTTAATTTGTGGGTTAATTGAATGATAGCAGTCACATGGACTAAGTATGATTACACTGGATATCATCCTTCTTTCACAAGCAAGAATTTCAGAAATATACAAAACCCTAATGACATATTTGCAATTAATTACCACCTTCTAAAGTCTTTTTCTGTTCATGTCATGCGTATGGGTAACATTTTCTTCTTACACTCATTAGTTCATTCTTTTTTCCTTTTTAAATTTTAAAACTAACTATACGATTAATATTTACAAATACTGACTTATCCACAATAAGCTAATGGGTTAGAACGTAATATCTAACTAACTATAAGATATATAATATTCTCGCATTCATCTGAATCAAACATAAAACTTTCTATAATAATCAAATCAAGTAGAAATTAGGTGCCGCTAAACCAACTGATATACGAACTGATCACTTGTTCACTTGACTTTTCTATCCTAGGATACCCCATTGACTTAATTAATTTCTTCTCTTGTTCTCTTTGGAACATGCCTAATGAGTATGTCGCAGTCGCACCAAAACTTTCATTGCTTGAAAGGGACTGTCAAGTTTGACTTGGCAACAAGTAAATAATGAAATGATCTATCCAAATAAATAGGTAGCCAATGTCCTCAAATTTCCTTGCAACCGTTTGTTCGTTTCTCTTGCATGCAAATGCTACAAAATTCAGAGGGCATCTGGAGCTCTCAAAATCCCTACAATATAGAACTGATATCTATATTTAGCAACTGGGTGTATTTTATGCTTTGGTGCAAATTGCCTCCAGCTTATCTTTCTCACATATGTCCACGATCCCCATATATAGGTTAGTAGTTCATGTTCTTTTTTATGTATTTTTTTCAAAAAAGTTCCAAGTTTAGTTGTAAGTTCAGCTTAAAATTTTCATCTGGGTCGGTTGCATGTTTCGTTTTCAAGTTAGAGATAGTTTTTCTTTTTGAGCTCCTCATGGTAGTGCCAAATACATAAGAGAAGAGTGACATATATAAAAAGTTGATGAAGTAATGCATTAATAGACATTCTTCTCTCCCTTGATTTGCTCGTAGCTAGCTTAGAATTTGAGCATTAAGTTCTCAATAAAATTGTTTCAACACAAAAACTGACGCACTTGTTGATTTGCTATTGGATGTGAATCTCACCAATATTAAAGGGTGTGTCAACAAGTATGTGATAATTTTGTGTGTCCAACTAGCATCACCCTTTAATTAGGGTGAGAATAATGAAGAAAATGAAACTTTGCTATTGTATATAAGAGCCTATGAAACACGGCCATGTGTATAATCCACGTATTATAATATTACATCACAAGTTGTGAAGACCACATTTTGTAAACTACATCTAAACCGTCTCTCAAATAGAAGTAGGGTCCACAATCCAAGTAGGTTCCACTTCTATTAGAAGGATAATTTTTATGTGATTTAGAAAAGGTGATCTCTCTAGCGCTTTCAATATTTTAATGCATTGACATGATATATACCATATAACCTTATTCCAGTACCTAATAAAAAATATACCTTTCAGTAAAACACATTAACTTTTCAGAGTCATACAAAATAACATTTCAAAGTCTATGACAACGAGGACCCAAAAATTAGCTATAGACCACTTCCAAACATCTGCCCTATCTAGTACTTATTAGAACATGCTAATTGATAAGAAATTTAATCTAAGCATACTCTGTCAGCGCTTAAAACCTACCTCTTGTGGTGCCGACTATATGGATACGTGTTCCTGCTGGTTGATTGAATTACATACTTGCCTTCTACGATTTAAAAAGAAGGAAATGTACTATAACTGCATTTGGCAAGCTTTACAGCAAAGCAAGTATTCATCATTCATGTAATGTATATATAACTTTATTATTCCATCTCTCATATCAGATATCATGATATAGACAGTAACCGGAGCACTCGATCGTCTTTCCACTAATGTTTTGGGTGCTAAATTTGTGAGCAGTCAATAGAAGAAACAACCATTCTGGTTAGGCAGATACATTATATAAAAGAACTTTTTCTCCTTTTTAGAGGAGTAATAGAGAAGGAGCAATAGAGAAATTCGAACTCGGAGTCTCGGATGCAAGGGTGAATATCCTTAACCAACTGAGCTACATGCTCCTTGCATTATTGAAAAAAATTAAATACAAAGATATAGAACTCCAACTATATATAGTAATATTAATATCATTCAGTTGACATACAAAGTAACATTTCTACAATCAATCGACCACCTGGTCGAGTTTGTTAACAGCGTACATGGCTGTTAGCTATAGGTAGCACATAATAAAGTCCCATGACATGCAAATAAACAATGCTTCATCAACTTCATTTCTTCAAGCAAACTCAGCTCCATGCACGGTCCGCTTGCTAACTAGATGTAGAAATTTCAAAGTGATGACTAATTTGATGGGGTTAACTTACTACTCAAACAAACAGAAGTTTAGAGTTTAATTAAGTTACAATGTTGATGCAGTAGTTTTATTATGTACAGGGAAATGTTGAGATCAATATCCTCTCGATTATCCCTAATGTACTTAAATCCTATGATCAGTATGTATATATATATATACACACACACATACACTACTAAATGATTAATTTCATATGGTGTCGCTTCCTTACGAATGTTTGAGTATTAATCCATATTTGTCTAATACATAATATAGACATTTTATTAACAGGGCATGTAATATCATGAGTAGCTATTTCCCTTTGAGGCGTCATCCTGGCTAAGTTGTGAAGCTACAAACTTGTCCAGCGCTCGCCAATCAGTCAGTTGATCTACTGTTCGCTGATGATCATCATTACTATTGTTACCATAGACTACACCATGAAAGTTTTGGTCTTGATCTAATGGCTGAAAAGTGCAAGCGTGGTTAATGTCGATACCATATGCATGAGGTGCCATGGAGTTGGAGCTGCTCACAGCTGTGGCTGATGATGATTGAAGTAGTTTTGGGCTTCCGAGAAGAGGGAGCTGGAAGAAGTGCTCGTGGGGAACCTGGAAGGGCAAGTGATCAAGCTCTTTCTTGCATGCATAACTAGGAAGCTGGTGGTATGGCACCATGTTCATGTTCATAGAGCTAGAGTTGTGCCCTGGTGAGTCCAAGTCTGGCATGAAGGAGACTTGGTCATCGTACCAACATGGTGACTCGTGTTCACTCATCTTATTTCTCATGCTTGCAATTTTCTTCTTGAATACTCTACATACAACCCATCCTTCTTCCTGCTTTAATTGCACAAGAATCGAGTTTGAACACAATGTAATAAGGAAATACAAAATTTATTTTATCATCTCAACTGACCTTTAAGAGTGTACTATCTCTTGGTTAAAGTAGTACAATACATGATCAGTTAAGATGATACAAATATGGTGGCATGTACATTAAAAATTTAGAATATGTGCAATTTCAATTCTTGCCTGCGGAGTTCCATTTTCATCAGTTTCAAGGCGGTATTCATGCATAATCCAATCGGACTTCTGACCATTTGGGGCTCGACCCTTATAAAACACTAAGGTCTTCCTCATGCCAATTAAGTCATGCTTTGAATAAATGGCCTTGTCTCTTCCTGTGGCTTTCCAAAACCCTGCAGCTGTGGCTCTGTTTGTTCGAGTTCCAGTAGGATACTTCTTATCTTTATGGCTGAAAAAGTACCAATCGTTTTGCTCTTCTGTCCCTATTCTGCATATTTCTGTACTTACAGGTTTATGTAACTGATATTAGTTGTTGTCCAATTGATTAAATAAATTGAAGTTACTCCAATATCTTGGTTGTGATAATGTTTATATACCTTGAAGATCCCATGGCTCAATTTTATAGAGGTCGACATCTTTAATAACATCGAGGTCAATCCTTCTTGAAGTAACCTTTTTCCTGAGGTAGTAATCAACAAGTTCTTCATCCGTCGGATGGAACCGGAAACCAGGGGGAACGTGTGAAAAAGTTTCCATATTGTCCAGCTTTTGGTCTTCGGTCCTGAAATTTATTTGTCATACTGATCATATAGGCATGCATGCATGCAAAGTTTTATCCTGAAACAATATTCAACCAACTGTAAATTGCCTTACACAACCCTAAGGAATCATCTCAATGGAATTTAATTTTCGTTAATTTTTGTGTACTTTAGCCCTAATCAAAGACATGTGTGCATGCCAAAAAAATAGATGATTATCAGAATGAGCTCGATGTAACATATGCAACATTTTCTTTGTAAGTAATCAATGGTGACTGATTTTGTCTGATTTTTTCAACAAAATGAGCTCGGATGAGTGATGATTGAGGTCGTTTAACGCTTCCGCTCGAAATTATTGAACTACTGGCTACTTAACTAAAAGTTCATTTGACCTAGCTAATGTGGGAAATTTATCGATCCATTGTGAAGTTGATAATGAAAAGTGTCATGTAATCATGAATATTCAATTAGATGAATGAACTCGTGAAAAAAAAAGGGTTCTTTTTGGGGAGTTCATTGTCAATGCTATGTAATTCACACAGAATATTTAATCTGATACAGAAAATGATGCTTCAGATGAGAAAAAACTTTTTCTGTATGGTAATCATAAATACTTTTGATAATCGATCTAGGTGCAGGCAAGAAAACATGAAAGAAATCAAAATAACAAAACTGATCATTCCAAATAAATTGTACTTTACTGTTATTGTTAATTGGATCAGAAGGTCGATGAGAATCCAGATCATGTAAAAAAGGAAAGCCATATTATTATTTTTTTCTTGAGATACGGTTGATGAAGAACAAGTTTCTACCCTAGCAAACCCTCTTGTTCGAGCGGAAAATAACCGAAATTATAATATTGAAAAGCTAACCCACAAAGAATTCAACTCAAGAATACTTGGAGAACAAAGAAGTAGAATTTCATGAAGAGAGAGAGAGAGAGAGAGAGAGAGAGAGAGAGCTTACAGAAAAGAAAAATCTTTAGATTTGCAGTCCACGGATCTGATCGGTTGTGTGTCAATCTTCCTCACGACTTCAAACTATAGAGGGAGCTGAACGGAGGTTACAGATATCAGGGAAGAAACAAGGACAGCCGAGCAGAAAATGTCAGTGATTTGTAAGATTTATATCAGTACTGCCCTCGGGAATTGAACACGAACTTGTTTTCTGGTCCCCAAAAACTTTATTGTCGACTTTTCTGGATTATTTGGATCCCGAGAAAATAAGAAAGACAAGCCAAGAAAATGGAAAAGTTGAGGAATGGAAGAATAGAGACCAAGTAGGTTTAAATAAGCAGAAAAAACCCTAAAAACAAAGTTACAGCTTCTGGTTAATGTCTTAGATTTTCATTGTCTTGTCTCTCACTATCGATAAAGGCTAGATTGCGGGGAAAGATTAGGCGGGAAGAAAGGGTGGCGCAAAACTGGCTGATCAAACAGGAAGCAAAGCTCTTTCTCTACTGCCACCTCTACCCGCCACTGATAGTGATAGAGACCGAAACCTTAATCAACCCATATATATATATATATATATATTTCAATATTGTTTGTTTATCTGAGCTAGCTTGGTCTCTATGCCAGTGACAAAGATTGTCAGAGAGAGAGAAATGTGGACTTAAAGATCAAGAACAAGTAAGATATATGAGAGCTAGGGATATAATGATGACGTATTGGAACGGCCACCAGCCAAAAAGTTACAAACAAATGCGGCATCATCCTTCTAGTCCCTACCATTAATTACTTACATCCCTCGATCCCCCTTTTTTTTTTAACTCTCAACTCCAATAAATTTACGATCATGATCATGGTGTTGTTGCTGTGTCCATATGAATCGTGATCCATGGTTTCTTGCATGTTCCACCACATTTTTCTGGGGTTTACCACACGTGGAATTGCTATAACTAGTAATTGGCTCTAGGGTTTTACTGATCTTTCTTAGTATTAGGTTTGTTTTCAGCTGTGTTAATTATATCTTCCATAATTAAAGTACAAAATAAATGGGGCAAAGTAACAATCATGGATGATTAATTCAAAGTGTTGTTGAAGAAAGTATTAATTTGGTTCGGTAGATATGGTTCTGGCTCAAAACCAATTAAAACTAATTAACCATTATGTTTTCACAATAATTCTCTAGCATTGTTCTTAATTATTATGGTGTTGTTGATCACATATAAATTACAATAACGAATTCAGGTGTCTGATTACTTATTTCTAGGACATGATAAATTTTATACTTGTTGGCTGCTGATTTGTCAAAAAAAATTTACAATGTGACGGTTAGAATTATATATGTGAATTTTGATAATCTTAATCTAACTGTTTAAATATTGTTGCCTCTCTCTATACCGATATATCATAGACAAACTCCAACTTAAAGGGTGAGACCTAAAAGTTGATGAAACCAATGGTGAAATTATAGCACTCCAATACGCTTCTCTCTACAAACCCTAGTCCTATTACATATTCTATTGATATCAACTCGTGACCTATACGCTTCCATTGTCATCATTATACGCGGTCTTAAAATATCTACCTACATGTTCTTTGTCAGCTGAGTCGACCGTAACGGAGCTCGAGCCCCGTTCTAACACCGTCCTCTCCTTCCCCGTTCCATCGAAAAAGGAAGGGCAGCACAGGTGGCAACTTTCTACTTAACTAACGTTGTCCTATATTCTTTAGTATTGACGGTGTTGTTAGTTAGGGTTTTTGCACGAGTGCTTTTCCAGAAGAAACGTGGGACCCATTAACCGACGTTTAATATCAAGAAAGTGACAGTCCTCCAAATGGCTTCTTTATCCTGAGGTGCTGGGCGGAGTTGGGCGGAGCGAGCTGAGCGGAGCCGAACGGACCGAGAGTGTTGAGGAAGGTTTTGGAGGGACTGGGATGAGTAAAGTAAAGGGCGGCAGGTGTGGTGGGATGTGGGACCCATACAGGAGGAGAATGATGGCCTCGACGGCTTGGCAATCCGGCGTGGGCTAGCCACTATCATTGAGCTCGCAAGTTGAGGGAGGGACGACGGAGGGATCGTGTATTTTTCTGAGTTGTGTCTGTCGGATCCGAGCTCGCGTGGTCCACTCGGTGAAGAGATATTTCAATATGATCGAAATACGATATGATACATCACGTGCTACTACATAAATAGTGTAATATGTTTGCTTAAAAGTTAATATTTTAATATATAATTTTTTTTACTATTTATATAAAAAAACGTGATATATCATTTTCGATTACAATAAAAAATATCTCCACTCGGTGGCCCCTTCCTTTGTGTACCAAAACAAAACAGGCTTTAGTGGGTCCTACTGTTGGGCTTTAGGAATGAGCACACTTCTTCCCGCTAAGACTCAGCGGTCGGCAGCCTGCTCCCCTCGCATTGCAACCCAGAAGCATGGAAAAAGATCAACCGTGTGCGCGCGTACATTAGCTAAGTAAAGTTCAGTTAGGGTTAGTTAGTGCGAGAGAGGACAAACTTATCCATATAGTTATTTCAAGCTAATTGCCTAACTTACTCGAGAATGTTATTGTAACGTTATTTAATGTGAATAACATGTTGATATATATATATATATATAATATATATATATATATATATATGTCTATACTTTTTCATATAACGTAGATAAATAATTTAGCATACTGCTACAATAACATTTTGGTTCTTGAAAGATCTTCTGGTGCAGCCTCATATACCTCTATGATTTTTATGAATATATAAAAGTATATATCTATATTTTTCATAATGGATTCATATGCAAATGAAGATCACAAAGCGGTCTGATACACGAGCTTTACAAATCGAACACTTGCTTAATCAAACAATCTCTCATATTAATATAGAGCCTATCAATTCAAGTAGATTCTAATTGTAATAAAAAACAGTACAAATATGATATGAAAAATATAATAAGAATAAATTTTTTGTAATTAAAATGGAAATAGCTTGTATAAATTAGTGGTGAGATTTTGAGTATTCATGTAGGTCCCGTATTTTTCATGATGACGGATGAGAAACATCATTGTTTCCGTCCAAACGTTTTGGTGGACGGTAAGACTCCGTTGTTACATAGACGTGTCGTCATTTGGGTGGCTGAACTTCTCCGCAACCAATAAGGATGCGGCTTCCCTAATACTCTTAGGGCCCCACATCTAATCATCTGCCTACGTCTCAGGGTCCCACCCCGTATAATCCCTGGATTCGGAAGGATGTTTTTAAGAGATATTTTTCGGTGTGACTGGTACACGTGATGGTACATCACGTGTCACTGTACAAATGGTGGGATATGTGTACTAAAAAGTTAATAATTTAAAAAATAAAAATTTTCATCATTCCTATTAAAACATATGGTGTACCACTTGTATTCATGTTACAACTAAAAAACTGATCAGGTGGCGTTGTTGTTCTTGTTCTTAATTTAATTGGTAAAAGATAATATTGCCAAAATATCCATAAAGCTTCGATTTTTCAACTAAAGTTTTTCATTAGTTTTTTGACAACATGAAAATATTTTTCTTACGTTTTTAAGTGTCTATTTATAATTTTTACTAACATAGGGGCACACACAAAAGTGTGTGAGAAATTTTTTTTATTTTTTGTTTTTGAAATATAAGGAGAGAGGAAGGGGGTGATAGAGAATGTGGGAGTTGGAAGTTTTTATTTTTTTTATTTTTTTTATTTTAATTAGAGATATGTTAAGATCACATGTATGTGAGGTTTTGACAAAAAAGGGTAAAATTTGATTGTGTGAAATTATATTTCTGCCCCATATTTATTATTCATGTTCTATTTTAATTAGAGAGTTAAACTAGTAATTTTATAAAATTTTAGTTGATAATGAATGTTTTATTAATTAGTAGAGATAATTGCTTATCTAGCGCCGCGTTTATTACCGCAAATTTACAAACTTCCTTGTAAATGCTCTATCTCACATCGACACGTCAATGCCTTCGTATTTCAGTCCATTCAATAATTTACAATATTCTCTTCTTTGATTAGCTGAATTGGAGTTGGTTTATAGGTGATTTTTCCTTTTATCCGGTAAATAAAATATATATGTTTAATCCATGTTGTTTTGCCTCTTCCATACAAGCAAAGGTCATTCCCTATAAAATATTTCTATAAAGCATTGTTGCATGCAAGTTTCATCTAATTGTGAGGTTACTTCCTCTTGAAAAATGCGGATCACTTTCGTACTTGGTTGCAACGTGTGGACTTTGTGGTCCATATTTGGTTTCCGTCTTCTGTTTCTCAAATTTTGCCAAAATTTGTTTAAAAATAGTGATTTTATTCACACATTTTTTTTTCGATCATCGGATTGAATAAAATGACAAATATTGAATGAAAAAATTAACAAGTAATATGTGGAAAGTAAAATTGGTGTTTGTTTAACCCCACTCGTCTGAAAATTAGTGAGAAAAGCAAAGTTAAGCGGACAAATTTGTGAATGTGACGCATGGTTGACAAGTTTTGGGCATACGCACGCACGAAGACACAAATTAGTGACGATTAAGTGGTTTATGATTCTAATAATTGTGTTTTTAGTGTTTAGTTGTCACTTCATTGAAAAAGAAAATGCATAAGTCTTACCTAAAATAATCGGATAAGTACAAAACATGTGAAGATATGATTGCATTTTGGTTTATATGTCACCTCGAAAATTGTAATGACTATTATTACCATGATTATGTGAATATGAAACCTGATCAACTAAAGCAGGAATAGTTAAAGCTCAAATGATTAAGACTATAGTCATAGTCGCTTACTACATATCCAAAATGACATTTTCATCACGTCACAAAGCAAAAGCAAGAAGAAACAGAAATCTTGTGTATATTATTTCACATGTCATAGTAAGCGTAGACGATATAATTGATATGTTTTATTTTTAGAGTTTACTAATAAAAACAATTCAGTATCTTAATCTGAATAGAATAATATATTACGTAATTGTGTTTCGATTATTACAGATTTTAGGGTATCTTACACTCTCCCTTAAATATCCAAATGATTGAGTTTCTCACCAACTTAAACCCAAATTGGTGTTACTTTTAGGTTTTTGCCACATTTAGGTCTTTTCTCATTGTGAAGGGTGTTGATTTGATCACTCTTATTTTCTCCTTCTCGACTCAGTGTCATTTGATTGTTACTTCGTTGCGGTGGGCTTTTGCTGCTTATGTAACCAAGAAAAATAAAAGAAACTCAGAATCACATTTTAACTTTGCAAGAATGATTTTTATTTATTTTTATTTCCATTAAGCAAGAATGATTTTTTTTTTTTATATTTCCATTAAGTAATTTTAGATACAATAATTAAAAAAAAATTTATTGTCGAATAAGTAACTTAGAGACATAATTATACAATGGCACAGTTCATGCAATGGTATGATCAAAGGCCAGCCGTGAATGGTACATTTGTAGCAGGCAACCATGAGCTTCCAGCAATGAAATTATCCACAGTAAACTTCGATGCTTCCGATGAACTAGTTATAATTCGATAGCCACCCCACTTGACCCTGCCAGTAGTAGGTGCACCCGGTCCAATGTTCTTGTACTCTCCATAATACAATGTCTTCAAAGCAAAATCACCGCTCCACTGGAGCCACCCAGCTGGGTCAACCAGGGTGTCTAAAAAAGATTGCATAAAAACTGTGCGTGAATACTCCTTCCATGGTCTACCCAAGAATGTCTTGACTGAGCCGACGGACGATTCAAGGTCCAGTGCGGCCATGACACGTGAGTCGTGGATAGAAATACCCGTGTTCTGGTTCGGGTCCGTTCGGCCTTGGGCTGTGATTGTGTTCTGTTGACCACTCATGGGTTTTCTTGCGTAGATCATGCAGTTTTGGAAAACAACCGCAGCGTTGCCAAAGATAAAATCAACGGTGCCGTAGACATAGCATTCTCTGTAGAACTGTCGTTGGGAGTGGGTGTAGAGGGTATCTTGGTAGCCTTCGAATCCGCAGCGGTAGAAAACTGAGAGGTCGGCGCCTGATCTGAGGGCTACTGCTTGATGGTTCTCTGGGCCAGCTGTGTTGCGGAATGTTATGCCACGAGCAATGAAGCCTTCACCAGTTACCGCTGTAATTACACCCGGCCCCCCAAAAAAAATCAAGAATTAGAAAATATGAATTTTTAGTATTACTTTTTGGGTTCAAATCTTTTAAAATAAACTATGTATGTCGTTCAAGGGGAACATGTATCTTGTAGTAGTTAAGTTCTAAGTTTATATGTCTGCTCGTAGAGGATTTGTTTTTGACTTTGTTATTTTTTTGTTCATATCATTGAGTAATGCATAAATTAACCGTTATAAATTTAAAAAGTAAAAGCTTATACCAATTAAAAGTCAACAATTTACCACACCTTTTGTGCTCTATTGAGACAATTTCAATGGTACATACATTGTGACATTTGAGAAGACTAGTGATTGAGACAGAGAGTCATGACTTACCAACAGTTGCAGACTTGAAAGTTGTAGAACCTCCAACAACACTACGGCTGCCGGTGATAATAGTATACCTCAGTCCATCACCCAGCAGATAAATGTTCTTCAACTTAATCTCAAGGTTTTCCTTATAAACCCCTCTCTTCACATGTATCACAAACCTCTTACTCCCACCCCTTGCGGCCGCAGCATCCAAAGCGGCTTTGATCGTCTTATAGTTCCCCGACCCGTCTTGAGCGACCACTACGTCCGCTGTGGGCGTCGACTGCAACAGTTTCCTATCCCCAGGGGAAACCCAACTAGGATAACCCTCTGTGTACATATTTGTCACCGGTGAAACATTTGAGGAATTCCAAAGTGACAAAGTGTTACTTATCAGCTTGGACACATTGTTGGACATGAGCGGAAACACAAAGTCCGAAACCTCAAGCTCCACGAACCCAGCCCGACACGTGTCAAGGTTCGTGAGAGCAGTGCTGAGCCAAGTTTGCGTGTCATAGTCGGTGGATTTTGTGGCAGGGTCTATGGTTTGGTTGAGGAGTTTGATGGTTTCCTCATAGAGGCTCATGCAGTCAGCCCATGCAGCTCTTTCTTTCTTGTTTCTACACTTTTGCCCTAGCCACTTGTTGTGACTTTGCGCTTTGAGTGCTCTTTCTAATGTTACTTGGACTGCAAGTTTCTTGAAGTTGGATAGTTGTTTGGGGATAGAGAGAGATTTTTCGTCTTGGGTCATGGTGTATTTGCAAGTTTCAGGGTAGGGGGTTTTTTTGCACCATGAATCTATGCTGCTGTGGAGAATGTTTGAAAGGGCAGGTGAGAAGAATAAAACAAAGGAGACACATAGGACGAATGAACTTAGATTTGTCGCCATTGATGAGTTCTTAGCTGGTTTGGTTGCTAGGGTTTGTGAGGGTTTTGTGTTTCGTGATAAGAAGTTGCTTATATAGGGGCGATTGGAGAAATGAAAAATGGGGTGTAGTGGCGACAGCTGGTTTGGCTAGGGTATAGTTTGAACGTGGAGGGATGATGGAGACAGTCAGATAATTTAAATCCAAAATAGTAAGACGAATTGAAAGATTCTCAATCCTCGTCTTATTAAACTATGATACACTTGCGTTGAAATAATGTGTTTAGAACAAGTATCATACATATAGTTCATTATTCAACATATCCGAGAAGAAGCTAGAACTTCTCAACACGACTGTATGTCACATATATAGTTCATTATTTAATTAGAAGCACCCGGCCTGCAATTTAATAACATTCTCTTCAACCAAACACACAGATTATGGATGATGGTGGTCATGGATCGTTTTAAGACGTGTCTTAGTACTTTTTAGTTATTTCACACAACTCATATTCTTCTGACTAGTTGACATAATTCACATTTGTAACATGCTCAATTAGTAACCAATCAATTGAGTGAATGATATATAATGAACGAACCTTATTATTAATTTTATAGTATAAAACTTAATAATACATTGCTATTAAACTTGTCCTCTGGAGTATGGTGGAATACAATATGTATATCTGAAAATATTTTGTAATGAACGATTTCCTCTACTTGTCCTTTAGAATATGGTGGAATTCAACAATCAACCGCCATGTAAAGTTGTTTACATAAAAAGATAATCTTCCTAAGTTATTTCTTAGAAAATTATTAGGCTCCTAAAATTGAATTATTTCTAACTAATGATAGTACCATGACATTTGTTATTACATGGGCCATTGGCAATTTGGCATGCAAATCTGACTATATTTTAGATAGTTGACTTTAAAGTTTGAATAGTTCAAGCAGCGCCAATTCAGAATGCGTTGTGCATATAAATAATGACCACTGTTTTTGTCCCTTTGATTAGTTTTAATAAGTTTGATGGTTTCAACATTCACGAGAACTCGTAGAATGTTGAGTTTTCATTTGATTTGTAACACAAATTCGAATAAGGTAAAAGAAGTGTTGAATCCTACAATTTCACAAACTTTGACAGAATAACTTATATTAAATGGTTACATTCTTATTTGCGCCAAGACATTGTGTAATGAAATTTAATACTTGGTGAATTGTGCAAGTGATTAATTTAAGACGGTGTGAATATAATTAGTAGAGGATGTGTCATTATCCGTTGCGTTGGTTTTATATAGCAAAGGTTGACATATGTCATCATCTGGTGTAATGAGCTATTATAAATTTGTTAAGAGTTGTTGGTAGTTTGTTATGTTGTTAAGTTTGATATATATAGCTGAAGGAAGAACTGTAGCATCATTTAATCATCAATCATAATACAAAGTACTGGTTTGGTACTAAGGTGTTTTTTTTATATAAAAAGTGGGTATAAAAAAAAGCTAAGCTCAAAAAGGTATTTGGTAAACACTTAAAAACAATTTATTTTCATAATTTTGGGTGAAAAAAAAAAACTAAAAACGTGAAGCAGCAAAAATGAGCTTATTCTCACAGCACAACATAAACAATTTTTTTTCAAAGCACAACAATACCAAACCAGGCCAAACAGCTTTCAAGTTTCTCTCTCTAGTTCTTCATCTTTTTTATCCTTTATTGTTCTTTAATTTTTAGTTAATAAAAGGTAAGGAATTCAGGCAAATGAGTAATGCCTGCCGCTTTATGTTAGCTGGACAACAATGTTGGAAATTATATGTTTATTATTTTAATTTATAATATTATAATATATAATTTTTGTGTGAATGAAAAATTTAAATTCAATTACATGAGTTGCATCAGTTCATTGGAATTTTGGCAACAGTCACACTATTTCAAAAAGGGGTGGCTTGAGTTCTATATAAACTCAAGCATCCAACCCATCTAAATGAATTAAGAGATGAGCTTTCTCCAATGTCCTTTACTTTTGCTAGTTAAATTCCGAGTCGTGTCTCAAGAATACGAATATATAAAGTTTACCAGAGTTCGAAGATTGCGGTGCTCTGACTTCGGATTGTAGATTGTTCACTTCTGGGAGACGGACTCCTACCAAACTACAAGCACAAGAGTAGGAGCAAAATTTTGTCTTTAGGCCATTGCACCGTTTTTTACTTTCTCTTTAATTTTTTAATTATATCGAGGCCCATTGTGCATACTATCCTCAGTTTGTATGTATTATTCGTTGCTTAATGAATATTGTACTTTCCTTAAAAAAAAATTAATTATATAAATCGTGTACACAATTAATGTTGTGAGTTTTTATAATTATTGTTATTGTTAGAATACTTTTATTATTTTTATATTTTATATTATCGCTCCAACAAATAATTGTGTATATTGCTTTGCAATCTTTTCTTAAGACTTTATAATGACTTTTCTAACTAATACCATTCTGTTTGATTAATTTATTCAACCGCCACATGCATTCTCTCACATATTAATCTTACCATTTGAACAAACAGTTCGTTCCCAGGCAAATCTTGATTCATGGATAACGATATATATTATTTAAAATCTACACAGCTGGTGCTAAATGAATGAGCAATATCCATATATCGAATAATCAAATTGATTAAGTAAAATATTCACAACTTAAGAAAATTATCCTAACTAAGCCATCATCTAGTACGGGGACAATCTTATGTTTTCTTAATGTGGCCGCATGGTTGGTACAACTTACAACACATACTAAAATCGGTATAGATAGTAGTAATGCAGGATTCTTCTAACATCTACCAATCGATATATACCAACTAAGGAATAGAAGCATGAATATGAAACCTTCCATAAACATAAAGAAAATCAGTTGGTATATATTAAAACAGTCTTTGTTTATGAGCTTGGACAAAATAGATAACTCACTATTTTATAAAGATCACACAAACTTTGACGTCATCTTCTATATTTCGAACAATAATGTTACCTAGACACACAAAAAGAATATTCAACTATAACAGAGGCCAAGTCATTCTATTCATTTTTGGAATTTACGTGTTGACGTGATTATTTGGGTAATTATAAAGGGCATTGATCATAGACCCATTGTGAACGGCACACCGGTGGTGGGCAACCACGACCAACCAGCAATAAGGCTACCGGCGGTGAACATAGACGCCACATTTGGACTGGTGATGGCATGAAAACCAGGCCACTTCACTCTATACCTAGTACAAGAGCCAGGTCCAAAGTTCTGATACTCCCCATAATACAAAGTGCTAAGGGCAAAATTACTTCTTTGCCACCGCAACCAGCCCGCCGGATTTACCAAATTGTCCAGATAACATTTCATAAAGACAACCCTAGAGTACTGCATCCACGGCCGGCCCAAATATGTTTTGTAAGAACCGGCCACGGGCTTTAGGTCAGCGGCTGCCCGTACCTGAGAATTGTGGATCGAAATTGCTGTGTTTTGAAACGGGTCGTTTCGACCTTGTGCCGTGATGACGTTGACTTGGCCCCACAATGGCTTTCTCACATATATCATGCAATTTTGGAAAACTGCAGCTGCGTTACCAAATATGAAGTCTATGGTGCCAAAGATGTAGCATTCTCTGTAGAACTGGCGCTGGGAGTAGACCATGAGGGTGTCTTGGTAGCCCTGGAAGGCGCATCGGTAGAAGACCGAGAGGTCGGATGCCGATCTGAGCGCCACAGCTTGGCCTTTTAGTGGTCCGGCAGTGTTGCTAAATGTGATGCCACGAGCAATGAATCCATGACCGTTTATGCCTAAAGAACATATTTTGTAATGACAAAACGATTAAAATAGTAAAAGTTATACTTTTGGTCTTACAGATTGGGTGAAATTTCATTTTGATTTATGTAATTTTAATTTTGACGACTTTTTAACTCTAAGATTACTTATTGTTCAATTCAAGGATAATGGTTTATATTAATGTTTTTACAACTTCAAAAAAACGTAATGCGCGCGTGTGCACACACACATATATATTATCATTTATTTTAAATTTATTATTATTAAATGGCAGGAGATAGCTCGACATCCAACACATTTCTATTAAGATATGAGACCATATACAAAAAAAAAATGATAAAATAATAGAATCAAGCTTGTTGATTTCAACAATTAATTATAAACGAGAGTTTAGATCGTGACAATGGAAATTAGACTGACCATTGGAACCTCGCAAAAGTACAATAACTACAATTTTATGAATTGGACAAAAATTAAGTGCTCAAACTTAAGAAACAATTAGATCAGATTAAGCAAATAATTAGAGATGGAGAGAAATTATATGTACATACCAGCAGTTGCAGAATTATAGGTTGTGTAACCTTCACTGACACTTCGGCTAGATGTGATTATTGTATATCTAATGCCAGCACCAACCAACATGATTTTACTGTTAGTGTTGCTAACTTGAATGTTCTCCGGGTAGACACCTTTCTTCACATAGATTATAAACTTGCTCTTGACTCTTCTCCTCGCGGCTGCATCTAAGGCGGCTTGGACGGTCGAAAAATGCCCCGATCCATCTTTAGCCACCACAAGATTTGCCCTAATGTTTGAAGCTTGCAATAACCTCCGGTCATGCTTCGAAACCCAATTTGGAAACTTTTCGCTCTCATTGTAACTTTCTTCCGTGCCTAAAAGTTGCGAACCTATTGCTAAACTGTTGCTAATGAGCTCCGACACATTGTTACTGGACCTGTAAATCGGCGTTATGAAGTCCGTAACGTTCAGTTCCAAAGACCCTACTCGGCACGTGTGAATGTTGGTGAGGGCAGCGCTGAGCCAAGTTTGCGCATCAAAATTAGAACACTTGCGTTTGTTGCCTAAGCCTTCAAGTGTAACATTGAGCTGGTTGACGGTGTTCTCGAAAAGTTTCAAGCAATCGGCCCACGCGGATTTTTCGTTATTGTTTCGGCAGTTTTGGCCATACTGGAAGGTGTATGTTATGGCATCGAGAGCTCTCTCCAAGGCCACTTGAACCAGCATTTTTCGGAACTCGGAGGTGTGTTTCGGGGGGAACCG